GATTGAAACCCCTTCACGGGTAAAGGCCTCCTCCAGCTTTTTCCGACTCAAAACTCAAAATATCTTTATTCATGTAGGTAAACAATTACACTTATGAGTTGTCAAGTTAAATTAATTGTAAATTTACATTTACTACCAGTTCGCAAGTCAAGGGCGTAGAGCGGGTAAGAACTGGCAAAAAACTTTCCGCCACTCTTTTTAATCGCCAAGTATTGTCATACAAATTGTTTGAACTGGAGCAAATCAATCCCAAGGATTAGGATCATTTAAGTATTCCTCAAATTTATAAAAAGCTTTATTGATTAATTTCCATTTAACGAGGGTTTTTAATTTATTTAGTGATAATTCTCTAATTTCGCTTGGGAGTTTGTAGTAAAAACGAATACAATTTCCATATAAGGAGTGGTTTATCTTTTGGAGCCTGGTTGGTCGTACAGTCAAATTAGTTCTATTTGCGTACAGTCTCTGTCCTTGGCTTTCTTTCTCCATTCGCTTCTTCTTTTATCCACCTTTTTTAATGCACCCTCATCTTCTTCCCCTTGGTCCTTACCAGATAGTTGACTTTAAAGTCCACGTTTTATTCTGTTTTATATTATTTATTTAATGTAATATAACAATATTCCTACATTGTAATCAAACCAGAATCCAATCTGGGACATTTTTAATAATCAATAAATTTTTGGGCTTTTATTATGTCTGTTTAATTTTTTTTTTAATTATAGTTATCGATTTACAATCTTATCTTTACGATTGAAGGAAAACAGGTCGTTGTACTATAGATTGTCGAGACTTGCAGATATGGCACTTACTTTTTTTGTATTACCTATCATTATAACATTGTTATAGATAAAATCAATATGATACAATATAATCAAAAAAGGGACCCCCTAAGATTAATAATAGCCATTTCCTTTTTCGTATATAAAGGCTTACATTATTAAGCTTGTGTATGTTACGGGTAATGCTAGAAGGTGGAGTAAACCTAGGTTTACTCGGGTTGACTTAGTATTACCCAAGCTTAGCTTGTAAAGTCCGAATAATAAGTAAAATAAATTTAAATTCGGGGTTTACCCATGCTCTACTCAACCCAACCTAGGTCTACCCAACTCTGGCTGGGTAATGTTAAAAATTTGTCTAATTAATTAGTGAAATGAAAATCCAAGGCCATTTTAAACATTTATTATCTGAAAAACATACAAACATAAAAATTATTTATTTGAGCAAGATAAACTGCTGTGACATTTTGAGTTGCATAATTTTCCTGCAGCTTTGCATGAACACTTCTTTGTGGCACATTTTGTTTTGCAATTACACCTTTTATAACCCTGGCCTCCTGATAGCGACTGTTCATTTGCAAGCTCTCGTAAACTTTTTTTTCTGGTGATATATTTTCGATATCAATCAGTTTATCATGACACACAGAAAACTGATTCCTTGAGAACATTTCCTCAATAGTACCACGTTCGTTTCCTAGCCTATACAGATCACCAGCTTTTTCTATAACTACCATAAGCACGTTCCGAAACTCGCCTCTTCCTCTATCGACATCTGGTATTTGGACTCTCACCGTATCTCCAACAGAACATGGAGGAAATTTTAAATTAGATAAGGCTTTCATTTTCTTAGCTTGATTTTCTAAGCTCAATCGGGCAGATAATCTATGTTTATTTATATTTTGTTGAGTAGTACAAATTTCACATAAGTTTATTTCTTGTGTACTTGTGCCTGGGTTCATACATCTACTACACTCTAATTCGTCTTTCTTTTTGGCCGTTTCTTCTGAATTTATTTCTAATAAAACGTTCCTTTCACCTTCTTTTGTATTTAAAACTTCTGTTTCGATATCGCTTCTCATCTCCGTGTTCTGTAAGTGGTAATTCTCTGATTCCAGCTCTACATTTAGTAAATCTTCTTGAGATTCTTGTCTAGATTCCGGTCCTTCTTCTTGGGATTCTGGACTAGATTCTGCTTCGGTAGTAAATTCCGTCAACATTTTCTCGAGCTCTTCCTCAGTGTGAATATTGACAATAACTTCTTTTGGAAGAGAAGACGACGCTAAACCCACCTTGACATCACTACCGAACATGGCGGTATAAGGAGCTCGTTTTATTCCATCGTGGAATGCCCTATTTTTCATTAATTGTACGAACTTCAAACCTTCTGACCAACGCTTACAATTTTCGTCGTTCATCCACGTCATAAGCATATTTTGTACGTCTTGATTTGCTCTTTCCACACTACCTTGAGACTGACTATGGCGAGGTTTGCCATGTACTATCTTCAGACCGCTCCACATCGAGCACAACTCTTCTATTACGTGATTTGCAAACTCGCGGCCATTGTCTGATTGAAGAATTGAAGGTGCGCCAAAAATACAAAATATGTCCAAAAGCTTATAAGCAACTTCTACGGCTCGTTTAGATGTTAACGCGCGCAGCTGTACAAACTTTGTCAAATGATCTTGATAGACCATTATGAATTTGAAGTCGCCGTCAGGGTTAGACTGCATGTCAATTAAATCTACTTGACAGCGACTATTCATTTCTGTTGACACCAATGGTTTGACAACAATTCCTTTTTAGCAGACTTTAACTTTTTTTGGCATGGTTCGCATAGTCGTAAATATAATTTGATTACTTCTTGAGTAATATTTTTATATTTTTTTTTACATTCTTTTTCCATTCGATGTTTTCCTCCATGTCCAACAGCCAAATGAGTTTCATGCAAAATATCGAACATTTCATCATTAGTCACGTAATATTTAATTGTTGTCTCACTTGAAGATAGAGGAGCAATCAGTTTCTCGACGCCACTTACCGAGCACAAATCAAAACGCTTCAATCGCCGGTATTGTAAAGTAGTTTTCGATTTAGCTTCTTTGCACTTTTTACCGAATTAATTATTTCCAAATACTGTTCGTTACTAAAGTAAAAAGAATTTAATCCTTTCGCTGAGAATAACTCTTGAAATTTTGTATCAAAACGCTCTCGAAAAGAACGTGCACTCTGTTCGGTCGCCATTTTGTCACTAAGCAAGCGGCGGCGTGGCCAGTGTTGCCAACAAGACTAATGCAAAATTTGCTAAACTGTTGTTAAAATTTAGCCAACACATTACCCAGACAGAGTTGGGTAGACCTAGGTGAGCATGGGTAAACCCCGAATTTAAATTTATTTTACTTATTATTCGGACTTTTTGCAAGAAGCTTGGGTAATACTAAGTCAACCCGAGTAAACCTAGGTTTACTCCACCTTCTAGCATTACCCGTAACATGTACACATTTTATCGCGGGCTTTGAGCGCGGCGACCGAATCAAGAAATTCCGTAACGAAATTAAAAACCTAACACACGATGACGTAATATAGATGTGGCCAATAAGCGTAAGAGCGGGACAGAACGCATACTGCGTATTCACATCTCTCTGACGAGATCGGTGAAGATGCAGTTCCTCTAACATAAAGGGTGGATCCTGGACCACTGACTGACCCAAATATCGAGTTGTAAATTTGCCCAACGGGAAATACTTTGATAGCGCGATTCAGAGTACGACGTCATCGTACTGATTACACAGAGTGGATGATCAGTACTATGATGGTGTCAGTCTGCAACCCTTGGTCTTGACCTCAGATATCGTTATCTGTTTCATGATCCTTTTTGTTCTAATAGGCAAGTAGGTGATCAACCTTCTGTGCCTGACACACGTTGTTGACTCTTCGGGTCTAAGGCATGCCGTTTTCCTTCACCGTACTCGCACATAGAGAATTCCATATGTTCACAGCCGGGTTCGACCCTGTGACCTAAGATCAGTGGCGTAAAAATAGGGTGGCAGGGCTGGCAAAATGCCACGGGCCCCCGATCCAAGAGGGCTCAAGAGATATTATGTTCTATGGAGTATGTGAAGTCTCCAATACGCATTGGGCTAGCGTGGGGACTACAGACGATTCCCTCTCGCCTAAGAGAGGAGGCCTATGGCCATTAGTGGAACATATACAACGTGTAATCGAGTACTCTGAAACGGGACGATTTTTACTGATAGGCCCACATCAAAAGAATTTGCCACGGGCCCCAGATGGTATAGTTACGCCACTGCCTAAGATAATGGTAAACTCAAATATATTTATGTATATCTATTGAATTTTGGTCTAAAACTATTATTCTTTGAAACGTTTACGACGACATAAATCATTTGAATTAACCTTATCGTGTGTTTTAAGAAAACAAACGTGCAAATTTAATGACTATTTTATTGCAAAAACCTGCGAAAACTTTAACGATTTTATAACTATTTGTACTACAAAAGGTTATTTTGTGTGACACAAATCTTTGAGACACATCTGTGGCTGCATAATTAAGACTAAATACATAAGTACCCAGTACCAACCTTCCTCCACACACAATGAAAACGATGACGTCATACCCTGAAACGCGCTATTGAAGTATTTCTCTTTGTGCATATATGCATCTCGATATTTGGGTGCTAGGTGGGTCAAGAATCCTTGAGGAAGAGTAACCTTCCTTTGCTTATAGCAACAGAATAATATTGTTGATTAAATTTTTATAAAAATCAATATCAAACATACCTCGTTTTTGCTTTGCAGTTTGCATTCTTATTTCTTACCCTAAGGCCTAAACCTCTAAATCTAATATATAAAATTCTCGTGTCACAATCAACAATGTTCGCTCCCATACTCCCCCGAAGCGGCTCGACCGATTCTTATGAAATTTTACATTCATATTCGGTAAGTCGGCTACTATCTAATATCTATTATCTATCTTTTAAAAGTTCAAATCCCTAGGGTGTCCACCCCAAAAAAATATTTTTTAGATTAGAGTCTTACTTTCCAAAGATAGAAATCAGTGGGATTAAATGTAAATAAAGTATTAATTATTATTTACTGGTACTAAAAGTTATACAATTATGGTCATCCATTCTGATTTACTAATCTCAATTACGATAGGAAAGCCTGTAGAACATAATAAATACATTAAATAGAAAAAGCATCATGCAATACTGGAATTTTTTAAATCCTAAGGACAGCGAAGGACCCCGGTTTTTTCCATATTTGTGAAATCATAGATTTTTAAATGAATATATCTTTTCAGATTACACATAGTATTATTCAGCGCAGCCCTAGCTGTGGTATCAGCCTACCACCGCCCTGACTTACCACCGGGACCGTACTGCGGTCTGTCGACGAACAACCAGTGCTGCACAGATCGAAAGGATGACTGTTCACATAGAATACTTGGTATGTATATCGTAATACTATAAAAAAACTAGGTGACCCGGCAAACGTCGTTTTGCCATGTATATTATTTCTAGGAAAAATTTTTTTAGTTGAATAAAAATAACTATCTACAATAGTATAAAATAGGAGTTGATCGTAGAGGGGTGAAAGTTAAGGGTTGTATTTGTATGTTGTATCATAAAAAAATAAAAACAAAAAAATTTGTCTAAAAGATAAAAAAATTTTTTGGGGTGGACACCCCTTATCACTTAGAGGTTTGAAATATAGATAGTAGCCGATATTCAGACTTACTTATGCATAAAACATTTCATAAGAATCGGTCAAGCCGTTTCGGAGGAGTATGGGAACGAACATTGTGACACGAGAATTTTATATATAGAGATAAAAAAATAGCATGTTGTACTGAATAAACTCAAAAACTGTGTGATTTAAATATTTGTTATGCCATAACAATGCATCATTAATTTGTAATAGGCGATATTTATTGCTCAAATTAAAAAAAAAATAAGCCGTTCGGAACTAGGGCAAGCCGTTTAAAATGCGTGGGATTTTGTGTGTATTTTTTGGTTACAATTAAATATTTGAATGACACTTCTTACAGCTAAAAAGTATGTTTTATTTATTTTATATATATTCACTATTAAACCATTGGCAACTTAAAGAATTGTCTTTGGCATTACTTGCAATACCCTGGATTTTTAGAAATGTATTCTAATGAATTCGAGCAGTGTTGAGGTCGTAGGTTCGATCGCTGGCTGTGCACCAATGGACATTCTATCTATGTGCGCATTTAACATTTGCTCGAACGGTGAAGGAAAACATCGTGAGGAAACCGACATGTTTTAGACCCAAAAAGTGGACGGCGTGTGTCAGGCACTGGAGGCTGATCACCAACTTGCCTATTAGATTTAAAAATGATCATGAAACAGATTCAGAAATCTGAGGCCAAGACCTAAAGAGGTTGTAGCGCCAATGAATTCATAATAATTAAAAAAATATAAATAGAAAATTAAAACAAATTTAAAAAGTTTGGTCCCTGTGACGGTGTACCTTTAATGCTGGCGTTTCGCTGTGTTGCGACACTTATTTGTTGAGCGAGAAAAGCACCAGCTCTGGGTTCACCAGTACAATCTACCAGGCTCCAACATAAATCTTTAATTAGCACCTATGCACTTGAACTCCACGGCCCAAGAGTTCACAATTTAAAGTTAATTAATTTAATTTATTCCTTTCAGATACTCTATGCTACTGCGATGAATTCTGCAACCGAACACGGGCCCATGATGACTGCTGTCCAGACTATGAAGAGGTCTGTCTGGGCATCCAACCAGACCCTGGCTTCCTTATCCAGCCATGTGAATATCGCAATCGGCAGTACTTCCCTGGGGATAAGAGGACCGATAACTGTAATACCTGGTATGAGCTTACAAACTATTAATAAAATAAAAATAAAAAAAACGTGTGTGTACTTATGAACACGCGTTAGAAGTTATACTTCTTTGGCGTAACAAGATAAAAATCTTTTCAAAAAGTTTATATTCGCCTTATTCTATTGTAGAAAAAACGACACTAACAATAGAAAAAAATACTGTCATCATTTTTCCTAACGCGCCAAAAGAAGTATAACTTCAAAAAACTAAAATGTTGACTATAGCTAACTTCAGGGTGTCGGTTTTTTGTGACGGTGTGCGCGCGCGTAAAAATTTTCTCTCATCATTTTTATTTAACGCGCCAAAAGTAACTTCAATAAATATTAGTGTACCAAAGAAAATCTTTATTACAAATATGTAATTAAAAAGTTTATAGAGAAAGTACCCTAGCCCCGACACTAGGATTCCCTGAATTGGGGCAGCTAGCTTCTTTCGTTTGAATACAGGTAATAATTTCTAGATAACACTTTTTTCTTAAATGTTGAATTTCGTTTGGTGCCTACCATTATTAGAGTACTTATCATCTATGTAGTGTTCCCAACGTGGAGCTCACGCCCCACAGGGGGCAATTTGATTGTTAAGCTATTCGAAAATTTATTGTAATTATTTGGATTTTTATTTTCACTTTTACATTAAATGTTTTGTAAAATTTACTTTACTTTAATTTTCTTAAGTAAACAATGTTTTTTTTTAATTAAAATTAATAAAAAAAAATAATTATTTTAGAAATACTAAGGTGGAGCACGGCACAAAAAAGGTTGGGTAACTTTTAAACAATAACAATATTTAACTTTTAATCAGTTTATTCCAATTTCCTAAGTATTTTTTTATTACAAAATCTACGGTTGATTCAAATATATCGCGATACAATACAATATACAAATAGAAAATCTTGAGCAATTACCTACACGTCGACTGTCATATTAAAATTCCTTCAACTAAATAATAGCTACAATGACCTACATTTGAGTTGTTTTTGGTCTCAAAAAATTAAATTAATCGCCCCTGCCCTTGAGATCTTTGTTTAGAAGACATAAATATTTGAGTTTGAGTTGATAGGTTGAACTAATGTAGCGTGAATAATAATCATTTCAAATGTACCTGGGGCAAGGGCGGCAGTAGAAATGCAAGTGAAAACTTCAGCGTGTGCAATAAGACATATTAAGTCACAAATTAATTATTAAAAAAAGTTTCAAGGGCGTCGCTTCTTCGTCGTTTCAAGATCTTGTAGATGCATGGTTCGGGTATTTTGGAAACACTTTTTGAAACCTCTTTAACCTATCTCTAATCTATTCATAAAAACCGTACAAAAATTAGTTTCTGAGTATCGCGTTAATAAGTCAGAGGACTTACTTTTATAATATTCAATAAAAACACCTCAAAGAAACTGAAAACGAGAATACATAATAAAAAACGAAGAATGTAAATAGCGGTATTGCAATATGTTTAAACCTTTTCTGAACTTCCACAAATACTTAAAGATTATCATTAGCCAAACCGGTTCAGCCATTCTCGAAACAAACGAACAGGATTTTTTATATATATACTATATTGTAATTATAATAATAATTTATTGCAAGCATATGGTACAAAAATGTAATGGTGGTACAGTCGAAAGTTCGCATATTCTGCCACACATGATAACATGCAAATTTGTCTTAATAGATAATTTCAATTACATTATGTGTCATATCATTATAGTCAAGTCTTATATTTATTTTATCGCTAAATCAAATTAATATTAATTGTAATGTTTCACGCAAATAATTTTAAAGAATAATACTTTTATTCAAAAATAGTACATAAGTCGATTTTTAAAAACTCCAGTAGGAAGATTTTTTAATGTTTTTGGTAAATGATTGTAGACCTTGATTGCAATACAAAAGTTATATAAATTTAACTGTATTGTTATAACAATACAACCTCATTTTAGGCAGCACTGGATAATACGCAGAAATTGTTGTCACCATCGCTTTTATAATTATTTTTGGTTTTCTATTATTTCTGGAGCAGTGTTGGTCTAATATGTAGTTTCAGCGTGGGACTCTCATTCCTGAGGTCGTAAGTTCGATCCCCGGCTATTGGATTTTTTTTCTACGTAAAAATTCGCTCGTTTTGTGAAGGAAAATATCGTGAGGAAACCGACTTGCCTTAGAAAGTCGCATGTGTGGGGCACAGGCTGATCACCTACTTGCCTATTTGACAAATGATCATGAAAGAGGTACAGAAATTTTCTGCCCAGACCTAAAAAGGTAGTAGCGCCATTGATTTCTTTTATTGTTTTTGTTGCATACCTCCAAGTCTTTCATAGACAAGGTCACACACAATTAACAGATTTCAGAGATGTTTCAAGTTTAGTCTGTGATTAAATCGTAAAGTCCTCCAAAACAAATCGGTCAATTAACAAAACGTTTATCAAGGTCTTAATTAAGCTGGCGCGTCTATTATTAGCGTGAATTAGCTGTTTCTAATAAGTTTCTTAGAGGTTATAATTTTTAGTGCAAATTGCTAATTGATGGTGATGCCTGCGTCGAATTCCTTTGTAACTTTTTGTAATTAAGAGTACTATAAAAGTCTTTCCTCCAGTTTTGATTTTGTTCCATTTGGAGTAGAGACTCTTGAGCCGTGGGGTTCAAGAGTCTCTACTCCAAATGCATAGGTGCTAATAAAAATTTAAGTTGGCACCTGGTAGATAGTACCGGTCCTCGCTCAACGAATAAGTATAGCAATACAGCGAGGAAATGCTTCCAGCGTTTAAGGTACACTGCCACAGGCCCGTTGGAACGTTGACTTGACGTGATAGATCAAAAAAAAGGATTCTATAAAGAACAGTGTTCAGCTTGATTAAAATTTAATCTTCAATAGTTGTCACACATTCTCTGTCTCTGACACTCCAAATATCAGAGGGCTCGCAAGAGTTTTAAGATTTGGTATTCTCTTTTAAATAAAATAAATCAGTGACGCTACAACCTCTTTAAGTCTTGGCCTCAGATTTCTGAATCTGTTTCATGATCATTTTTAAATCTTATAGGCCAGTAGGTGATCAGCCTCCAGTGCCTTACACACGCCGTCGACTTTTTGGGTCTAAGACATGTCGGTTTCCTCACGATGTTTTCCTTCACCGTTCGAGCAAATGTTAAATGCGCACATAGGAAGAAAGTCCATTGGTGCACAGCCGGGGATCGAACCTACGACCTCAGATAGTCGCACGCTGAAGCTACTAGGCCAACACTGCTCAATTGTATTCTCTTTGACCTATTATAGTATTGTACCTTTCGCATTATATTCCAGTAATTAATAGGTAAACTGGGTTTTCGTGTCTCAACTTAGCAGGATAACCCACGCTTTCGTTTCCGGCTCTCAGATTATTATAATTCAAACAACGTAGCAGGGTATCATGCCTTCATTTCGCAAATACAGCTTTAAAGTTTTATTATTTACAAGCGCCTTTATTTAATCTTTTAAAGCATAAAGAATAGAAACGTAACAGCTAGCAAAGCAAAGTTATGGACTCGATTTTATACATGACATCAATATCTACCAAAAAAACCGCGATATTATTTATAACGAAAAAAAATGCATTTAAAAGTCAAATAAAGGTAACCAAGTACACTACGAACGTCAACAGAAAAGATGTTAAATTTATTCTAAATTTACATTAACTACCAGTTCGCAAGTCAAGGGCGTAGAGCGACAAAGATTTACCGAGAAAACCTTGGTGCCTTTTTATTTAATTGCAACAAAGTATTAATAAATAAATTAAAGCTTTCAGCTATAGAACATCGTGTTACCGAATTAATGCGAGTGGAACCGCTAGTCTAACATATAAATATTGGAAATTAGCATACCACTTAAGTGTGAAAATATATAAAGAACATATTGTCGTTGGATGGATTTTCATATTAATTAAAGTTAACCTTTGATAAATGGGACCAAGATAATAAAATATCGCTTCGAGCTATTAACGAATTTGATTTTGTTTCATTCTCACCGCTTTAATAACGTTTTATTAAAGTTTTATTTATTTTTTATAAAGGCACACTAACGAAACACTTACAGAGAACACACAACATACAAAAACAAATAAATGACAATAAACTAGACTAAGAAATACAAATATGCAATTTAAAAATTGTTATTTCGTTAAGAATACAGTGGTACTAATACATTGAACCAACTTCTCATACAGACTCGCCGGTCTACCATAGTCAAAGTCAAAGTGAAATCATTTATTTCCATTAGACCACCTAAAATGGCACCTTTGAACGTCAAATAAAATATAAAGAAGATTCTAGTTGGCCCTTCCAAAAGGTAGTTTTGTGTGGAGAATGGGCAGGAAACTCCACACTTACTTTTTTAAAATAGGTTTAAAATATTTTGTTTACATAAGTTAAATTATATGTGAAGACAATGTACTCTTAGAATAAAACTAATAATGTTCATATCTGTCCATTATATGTTAGATCGGCTATACAATGCGCAGGGGCGATGAGAACTTGGAGAAACTGTTCGTAAGCAAAATAAGTGATCACCAATCAGATGGACCGATCAAGTGAATGACTCATCGTCCTCAAACTGTATACTGTTATAAGAAAGGCACTGGGCAGAAAACGGTGGAAACATTTTCCGCTCCCGATGTTTCCATTCTGACCTCGAAGCTCAGAACTGAAGAGAGGGTTTTTTTATTATTATTTAGAACAGGGGGCAAACGGGCAAGAGGGTCACCTGATGTTAAGTGATACCACCCATGGATACTCTCAATGCCAGAAGGCTGGCGAGTGCATTGCCGGCCTTTTGAGTGTGAGAGTGAGATGAGATTTTCATGGAATTAATAATCTTTTAAACTGATTCCAATATCAATACAGCATCAAGGCCTACTTTTATTTGGTCACAATCAATTTGACTGACATAATACACAGTATCTAAAATATTCTCAACCGACATAATAATTTAAAATAAATACAAATAAACAAATTTAAAGTTTGGTTCCTGTTGTTAATCTTTAATA